TAAATTCCCTCCCCTTTCAAAATTCCATTGTTTTCAACTTATAAAAACAATGTCCTGGGCCAGCCCAGTGGCGCACTGGAGAGTGTGCCACTTGGGAGTGTGGCGGCACTCCCTCCGAGGGTTCGGATCCCATGTGGAGACCGGTTCCTGCTCACTGGCTGAGCGTGGTGCAGGCGCAACACTGAGGTTTGCGATCCCCTTGCCGGTCCCTGGTACGGGCATGACACCGAGGGTTGCGATCCCGTTACCGGTCAGTAAAANGTTTCATCCTTCTTCCCCTCCTTTCAAATAAAGCTTTTGTTTCAGCTGCCCCCAGTGCATGATCTTTCCCTGGGATAATAATATATCATTTGTTTATTTCTTTTAAAATAATACAGTCAGTGTTTTTCTCAAAATAATTGCCACCTTGTTGCTAATTAAACATGATGGATTCGGGGTCCTGGTTTGCCATCTGGGCCATATGTCTCAGCACGTCCTTTTTTGTGATGATACCAAGAAGTCTTCTGGAGAAGAAACAAAATAGAGAAAAAAGGTCAGCCTTGCAATATTGACTCAACCATATCCCTAAACCCCAGTGCCTTTCCACCTGGGCGCAGGGATAGACAATGTTTCCAAGCCTCCTTTGCAGTTGGGCAGCCCAATGCAGTGAGCTTGGGCCGAAGGCCTGTTAGTGGAGATGACAGACACCACTCCCAGGTCTCTGCACATTTCCCCACTCTCTCTCCTCATCTGGCAGCCAGAGGCAGAGGAGCTAGTGAGGGACTCTGAGTAACAGAAGACTGACTTAGGAGCCATCAGATTCAAAGACCTGGATCCCTGAATGACTGTGGTCTACAGCCCACACCTGCTGCAACCCACAGTGGATGTGATGTGTATGAAAAATAAACCTTTATTATTTTAAGCCACTGAGATTGAAAGCTTGTTTATTATGGCAGTAAACCTACGATGACTAAAATACTCTCTTAAGTTTCAAGACTATAATCAATTAAAAAAGGGCTTATGAAAGCCATTGTCAGAAACTCGATCACACCACAGAAATTCCAAGTATAAGGTATTTTAAGTATAAAGAATTTTAAGTATAAGATAAAAATTGATTCTATTTTCGATTCTATCTTACTGGAGGGGTAAAATTTGACATTCATCTCTGACCATATCTGTAAATTAAATTCCCTCCCCTTTCAAAATTCCATTGTTTTCAACTTATAAAAACAATGCCCAAGGTCAAGGGTTCAGATCCCCATACTGGCCAGCCACCAAAAAAAAAAGTTAACATCTAAAAATATATATATATAATAACAGCAAGGTCAGTCAAGGGTTTGGATTCCCATACTGGCGAGCTGCCAAAAGAACCCAAAAAACAAAAAACAATGCCACTTACCAAGGTTCTTTGTATAGGACCCCCTAGACTGTACATTACATAACTCCAAGAAACACTGTTCACAAATACTACAATGTAAACAGTGCTTCCTGTGGATTGGATTGTGTCTCCCAAAGTCCCATGTATTAGACACTTAATCCTCACTGTGACAGCGTTAAGAGGGTAGGAAATCCTAT